TGTGGTTCTGCAGAGAATGTGAATCCCAGGAGAAAGCAGTCCGTGTGCTAAACCAGGACAAACTTCATCCGACTGAACCCACAAACATGAGCAGTATTTTACAACGACTTCAGTCTATTGAAATGAAGATTAAACTGCTGGAGGTGAACTTTGAGATCAACGCTACCTGTCAAAATGAGACAACTCTTCCTCAAATCAACGGAGAGGTTGTGCGCCCTGTACTAAGCAGCTCACCCTGGAACGCTCAGGATGCCAAGCCGAAACGGGAGTCTTGCACTGCGGATCCGATAAAAACAGGGAGAACCCTGCACCTGGACGAATCACCCTGGCCGGTTCTGAGCCTAGACCAACCTTCAACTTCAACACCTGCTCCGCCAAAACAAGCAGCTGCAAACATAACGGCTCCACCAACCCCGCTACCAAAAACAAAGCAACCAGCCCGAACCTCAAAACATCCCGACTCTGTGGGAATCCCACTGAAAAACAGATTTTCTGCACCCCAGCCTGAGCCTCTGGGAGAAACCTCAGCTTCATACATCAACAATGAGGCAGCGTGGCCAGCTCTGAGCCGAAACCCACCTTCAACTCCAACTCCTGCTCTGCCAAAGAATAGCAAACAAGCAGCTGGAACCAAAACGGATCCACCGACCCCGCTCCCAAGGACAAAGCGACCAGCCCAAGCCTCAAAACATTCCAACTCCGTGGGAATCCCACTGAAAAACAGATTTTCTGCACATCAGCATGAGCCTCTGAGAGAAAACCCACCTTCAAACACCAACAATAAGGCTAAACAAACACATTCACCCCCCAAAGCTCCGAAAGACAAAGTGACCACCAGGAAAATGAAAGGTATGCCAAGAGTGCTTATTGTTGGAGATGAGACAGTAAATGGAATCAGTCATGTTTGCAATCCCAAGAAAACCAGAGTGGTTTCTTTTCTTGGTGACACTGTATCTGATTTGACTCGCAAAGTGCTCTCTCTAACCGCTGATCAGCCAAACATTGAGACTTTAGTTGTGCATGTTGGAGCCAACGATCTGGCAAAGCAAAAATCGGAGATTCTGAAAAAGGACTTTAATATTCTTCTGGACACTTTGGGAAAATTTAAAACGAAGTTATTTCTCAGTGGTCCAATTCCATCGCCTCAATGGGGAGAGGAAAAACACTCCAGGCTGGGCATGATAAACAAATGGCTGATTAAAACCTGCTCAGCCAGCTCAGTGACCTTCATTTATACCCTCTGGATCTACTGGCAGCGCTTTCACCTCTTTGGAAGAGGCGGACGCAATCTTAACAAACATGGAATAAGGCTGCTCACTGCATACATTTTTCATTTTATCAACAAGAACAGCAATGTGACCATCGCTTCAGAAGAACAGGCTCAAGGATGTCTGACCAGGATGGAAGCCTCCGCTTATCAAGAACAAACTATTCCAATACAAACTGATAAAACATCGACTGGGGACAGAATGACTGGTTCCCCTCCTTCTTTCCCCCTCCCTCTCTTGATCAACATATTTAATGATGATTATATTTGACCAAATGTTTGTTTCATAACTGGTGACTGTATAATGTTTTTATTATTTTATGACCTTTGACCTCCCTCTCTGCTGAAATGTTCTAATAATCTGGACTAGAGCAGCTTCATGAACTCAGTCAGGAGTTGTTGGTGTTTCCATCCTGCTGGTGGCGCCGGTTGGTTCTGATGGTAATGAGAGATTTTACTGGAAACTCCAACCTGATATTTATCTCCATGAGATTCAACCAGCAGAGCAGATTCTACTTCCTGCAGAACAGATTCTACTTCCTGCAGAGCAGATTCTACTTCCTGCAGAGCAGATTCTACTTCCTGCAGAGCAGATTCTACTTCCTGTCTGATGAAACGTTCTGAGAGTTAAATAAAATATTTTATCCATAAAACTGAATCTGGAATAAAACCTGTTGCTGAATATTCTGAGGATTAAAAAGCTAAAGCTGCTCCAGAGAGGGTCAGAGGTCAGACTGTGTTGTCATGGCGATCTGTCTGCTCTCATATGGATCCTCCTTCCTGGTTCTGGACGTCCAGCTTTCAGTTTGTAGTTCAGTCGTCTGGAGTCCAACAGTCACCAAGAACCAGAGATCAGAAAAGGTCCAGAGAGCAGAGAGACGCTGCTGGTTCTGGTTTATAACTTCACTGCATTTGATCTGAACATGAATGAACTGAAAGATCTGAACTTCCCCCCCCGGAAAATGTCCCAGTTCAACGAATCTATATCTAGGGGTGTGAGAATCCTTGTTAAATGACGTTTAACTAAAGTCCCAGTTAAACAACATTTAACTGAAGTCCTAAAAGGGGTTTTAATGTTTTTATCTTTTTTAATCTTTTTCAAAATGTCTTTCTCTTTCTCACTGTTTATTCAATGTCACATGCTGTTTTTATTTTAATTATGTAAAGCACTTTGAAATGCTGCTGAAATGTGCTATACAAATAAAATTTGATTGATTGATTGATTGATATGACAAGAGGAACAGTTGACCTCTGACCCCCAGGACAGGTCACAAGATCTCTAACATTCTGTGTCAGAAACATTCAGACTCACCTGGCAGGAAATAATCTTTAAAATGATAGAAAACGCCCGCAGAGATGATGAGAACCAGAACCAGCAGAACCAGCAGAGCTGTGGCCGAGGATGGAAACGGTTCTGTGGAAAAACAGAGAAACATTGACCTCACTCTGACCTTTGACCTTTATCAGCAGGTCTGACCTGATGCTCTGACCTTTCTGTACATATTTCAGAACCACAGTGTCTCTCAGGACGTCCTGGTCTCTGTGGACGGTGCAGACGTAGCGTCCACCGTCTCCGTCTCTGGGGTTCCTCAGGGTCAGGCTGACGTCTCCGGTCCTCAGGAAGTCTTTGCTCATTTCTGTTCGGTCGCGGTAAAAACCGTCCTGGTTTCTTTGGTTGCTGCTTGAGTGAACCATCATGAATTCTGGTTCTGGCCGGGTCCACTCCACTGACGTCCCCTCAGGAAGGTCGGCTGATGTTCTGCAGGGCAGGACGACAGAACCTGACCCTTCAGTGACCTCGACCTCCTGCTGACCAACTGAGAGGAAATAAAGAACAAAATGAGCAGAAACAGTTTGGATCACTATTCTGGATTGATGTCATTCAGTTTCTGTCTGCAGGATAAAAATCATTTATTTAATAATCAACATCATAAACTTTGATCCATCAGAGGTTCATGTGACAGTTATTGATGCATCAGAGGGTTTGATCTATACGTAGCAGATCTACAAAACCTTTTGGTTCTGTGGAGGCTGGAGATGAGAAACACAAACAAACTAGAAAGTGTGCATTTCCTATGAAAGTGTAAATGCTGAAAGCTTTTGGTGAAAATGGCAAAAGCATTTGAAGCCGCCTGCTGAAGACTTGCAGAAAGGTAAGAAATGCAGTGTGAAAAACCCAGGTAAAAGTTAAAATTAGCTAAAACTAGCTAAAATACTAATGATAGCATCTAGGCTACCACTAGCATGCTGGTTACAGTAATATATCCCATGCAATGTAAAAAAAAAAAAAAACTGATGTAAAAACTAAAATGTGAAAAGGACAGAAACGTTCCCCTTTCCTTCTGATAGAAACGGTGGGTGAATGAAATCCAAACCTTTTATGGTTCCTGAGATAGAAATCTGTTTGGAGGCATCGTTTAGCGCAGTGACTACAAAAACATGCAGCACGAAAAAAACAACGTCAAAAGCTCAAATTATTCCCAGGTGTTAAACAGCATAAAAGCTGTTAAACTGCCCAACTTCAAAATGCCCGCTCTCTTGTTTCCTCCATCACAGCCCTGAACCTGGATGATTGATTGCCATGGATCTTTCCAAGCTCCGCCCAGAAACGCACCTCGACAGTCCCACGTGGCTACATGTCTCACAAACAAAGCCTCGCGGAGCTTAGTTTCTATGTGTAAACATGGCGTCTTTCGTTTCAACTGACTCTCTACAAAGTATTTCTGAGTCGATTAGTGTAGAATTTCTGCCGGATTTTCAACTTTTTCAGAACTTTAAAATAGGGAGTGCTGCTTGTTTAACTGACCTTTGACCTTCAGATGAATCTGTTTCAGGTTCCGTTCTTCTATTCCATCAGAGATGCTGCAGCTGTAGTTTCCTCCATCATCCTGCTCAGGTTTCCTCAGAGTCAGGCTGAAGTTTCCAGTATCCAGAGCGTCAGGATTCATGGAGGTCCGTCCTCTGAAACGCTGGTTCTGGTTTTTAAGATCGTCACCGTTTTCTCTCCGTAGGTGGACGGAGTTAGGACTGAGATCACTGCGAGTCCAGATGAGTAACGGGTCTTCAGGTGGAGTACCAGAGTCAATGCAGGGCAGCAGGACAGACTCCGTCCCCTCATTAACCTCCACCACTCCGCCCAGTGCATGCTGGGAAACTGAGGACACAAGATGAGGGTTTAGTGTGTAGAAATAGTGATCAATTATTCACCAGTGATGAAGGATTTCAGTCTGTCTGCTAAACAGTGATGCTGAACTGTTATTGGGCAGCAATGATATCTGTTCATGAGTTTCATGAACTCTTCTGTTCATGTAACTAACATTAAGCAATATGTCATAAAAAACTGATAAATGTGTATTAAAATAAACATTAAAAAACTGAAGGACAGAAACAGTTGAAACTCTAAAAAAGCATTAATGTGTTTTTCTCAGTCTGTTTGGCAGCCATTAGAGTGAGAGCTTCAGGTAAGCTCAGCCAATAGCATGAGAGCTTCAGGTAACCTCAGCCAATAGCATGAAAGCTTCAGGTAACCTCAGCCAATAGCATGAGAGCGT